GGAGCAGGGGCCCAAGGACTTGGGCCATCTTCCACTGCTCTCCCAAGCCATAGCAGAGAGCTGGATCGGAAGTGGAGCAGCTGGGATTCAAACCAATGCCCATATGGGATGCCGGCACTAGAGGTGGCAGCTTTACGTGCTACACCACAGCACTAGTCCCACAAGTGGCATCTTTAACAGCTGTGCCAAACACTTGCCCCCAAAATGGATTTTTTAATAAGTCCAAATCTGATTATGTCATATCACTCTTATAAAGGTACCCACTGCTCTTAAGAAACACCAAAGTTCTTAACTTGGTCTATCTTTCCAACTTTAGAGGGCCTGGAAGACTTAGAAAATTTTCATTTTATTCTAACTATAAGCAAGATCCTGTCAAGAGGCAATAAGAAGCAGAAAGACCAATCAGGAGTCTATAGTAGTAGTCCAGGCAAGAGAGGACTCGGTTTGATCAGGGGATGGGGTAGAAGGGGAGAGAAGAGCTGGGATTTAGGATACACTTTGATGAGCCATAGATTGTATCACCTAATGACACTGTCACTGTCTTAGTTTGTGTAGGTACACTCTGATGTCTGCACAATGACACAATCACCTCACAACACACACCTCAGAACTTATCCTATCATTAAGTGACACATGACTACCCGCAAAAGGATGAAAAACATCTGTCCACACAAAGACCTGTGTATGTTCATAGAAGCGTTACTCACAGTAGCCTAAAAGTAGAAAACAACCCACACGTCCATCAACTGATGAATGGATACACAAAATGTGGTAATCAAACAAAGGAACATTATTTGGCATCAAAAAGAATGAAGTGCTGGCTGATAATGGATGAGCCTGAAAACATTACACTTAGTAAAAGCCAGTCACAAAAGGCCTCATATTATACTATTCCATTTATATGAAATGTTCAGAATAGCTAAGTCCAGAAACAGAAAGTAGATTAGTAGTTTCCAAGGTTTGGAGAGGGGAAGGAATGAGGAGTGACAGCTGACGGGTATAAGGGCTTCTTTTCTTTAAAGATTAATTAATTAATTAATTTGAAAGGCAGAATGACAGGGAGAGACAGAGCAAGCTTCCATCTTTGAGTTCTTTCCTCAAATAGCCTCAACAGCCAGGTCTGGGCCAGACTGAAGCCAGGAGCCAGGAACACCATCCTGGTCTCCCACATGGGTGGCAGGGGCCCAAGTACTCAGATCATCATTTGCTGCCTTCCCAGGAAGTAGAGCAGCTGGGACTCAAACTGGCACTCCGACATGGGATACGGACATCGCAAGCAGTGGCTTTACCTGTTGTGCCACAACACTGGTCCCTCAGCCTAGGGTTTCTTTTCAGGGTGATAAAAATGTTCTGAAGGGGCCGGCACTGTGGCACAGTGGGTTAATGTGCTGGCCTGAAGCGCCAGCATCCCATATTGGAGCCAGTTCTAGTCCTGGCTGCTCCACTTCCGATCCAGCTCTCTGCTATGGCTTGGGAAAGCAGTAGAAGATGGCCCAAGTCCTTGGGCCCCTGCACCCACATGGGGACCCAGAAGAAGCTCCTGGCTTTGGACTGGCACAGCTCCAGCTGTTGCAGCCATTTAGGGAGTGGACCAGCGGATGGAAGGCCACTCTCTTTCTCTCTCTCTCTCTCTGCAACTCTTTCAAATAGACAAAATAAATCTTTTAAAAAAAAAGTTCTGAAATTAGTAGTGATGGCTGCACAAAACTATATATAGATGGATTTTGTAATTCAAAGAGGTCAGTTTTATGGTGTGTGAATTGTATCTCAACAAAGTTATTGTTTTATTTATTTATCTTTAAATTTGTATTTATTTATTTGAGAGAAAAGAGACAAAGTGCGTGCTCTCATTCGCTAATTCACTCCCCAAATGCCTGCAAGGGCTGAGGCCAAAGCCAGGAGGCAAACTCAACACAGGTCTCCCTCATGGGTGGCAGGAACCCCATTACCTGGGAGAGCACACTTGCCTCCAGAAAGCTGAAGTGAGGAGCCACAGGCAGGCACTGAACTCAGGCACTCCCATACGGCATGCAGAAGTCTTAGGTGGCCTCTTAACTGCTAGGCCAAATGGCTGCCCCAAAGCTGTTGTTTTAAAAAAGAATGTTTCATTTGTTTTCAACTTAGGCTGTTTTATTTAATAAAATTCCTATTTGTTATTGCTGGATCATGATCAAAGAAACTGAAAGTAACCTGCCATCACTTTGATTTTTTTTACCTTTTATTTGCAAAAAAGACACTGGTTTCACATATAGGTTGCCATGAACCTAGTACACAGTCCTTACTCTACCCAAGACAAAGTTTTTCTTCGCTAAAACTGAAAGAACCAAAAAATCCCTTCTTGGCTTTTTGGCTAAGATCAAGTGAAGAGTCAAAAGATATATTGGGGGCCGGCACTATGTTGTAGCAGGTAAAGCCGCTGTCTGCAGTGCTGGCATCCCATATGGACGTTGGTTCAAGTCCCGACTGCTCCACTTGCAATCCAGCTCTCTGTTGTGGCCTGGGAAGGCAGTAGAAGATGGCCCACGTTTTTGGGCCCCTGCACCCAAGTGGGAGACCTGGAAGAAGCTCCTGGCTTAAGATAGTGCAGCTCCGGCAGTTGTGGCCAACTGAGGGAGGGAACCAGAGGATGGAGAACCTCTCTCTCTCTCTGCCTCTCCTTCTCTCTATGTGTAACTCTGACTTTCAAATAAATACATAAATCTTAAAAAAAAAAAGTTATATTGAGAAAATGCTCTAACATTTTCCTTTCATCAAGGCACCTTTCCATCTACAAGATGCCTGGGTAGTTTTCTCCCATAATCAGGAGCTCCTGGGGCCTCGCAGATAAAGGCACACAGCTGAACCATATTTCTCTTCAACAATCAAAGTACTAAAAGCTAGTATGAATTGTGCCAGTATTTTATGGTTAGAACAAAGAATGAAGACTTGAACTAGGGCTGGGGTAAGGGATCTGAGCAATATTCTTTTCAACAATTACTTGCTCTAGAAACAGCAATACTGAGCAACTATAATGTGTTAAATAAACGGTCCTAGGTTCTTTACAAATAGGGTATTTTATTAGTAATCCCAGGAACCCTGAGGGAAGTATTTTTATTTCTCATTTCACAGATAAGGAAACAGAGGCCTGGATGTCAATCATTTGTCTTTGACACACAGGTAAGAGAGTTCAAATAATGAGCCAAGGCTTTTTAAACCCTAAGGTTCTCTCCTCTTCCCTTCTGTATTCTTCAAAATGGAAGAGTCAGACACTTGAAGAAATGAAGACTCCTCTCCCAGAGCCCAAGTGCTTGGGCCCCTGCGCCCACGTGGCAGACCTGGAAGAAGCTCCAGGCTCCTGGCTTCAGATCAGCTCAGCTCCAAGTTGTTGCGGCCATTTGGGGAGTGAACCAGTGGATGGAAGACCTCTCTCTCTGTCTCTCCCTCTTTCGGTCTGTAACTCTACCTCTCAAATAAATAAATGAATAAAATCTTTCTTTAAAAAAAAAAAAAAAGACTCCTCTTCCTATCTCACATAGTGCTTTAGAAAAGTTGACTGTTTCAGTATTAAACAGAAGCCAGTGAACAGCAACCAGTGTCAGAAGGCACAAAGGACCATGCCATGTCCCTCATCTCCTGCACTGCTTCCTGTTGGAACAGTTTTCCTGCTGAGTCTCATTATAACCTTAGGACATCAAAATTTAATGATCTCATGATGGAAAACCCCAGAGAACAGCATTTAGCATAACTGGAGAGTTCACTAGATCAGGAAGGAAAAGAAATCAGGTGGCAGGAAGCGATGCTTATCTAAAGACACACAACATCTTTAACACGATATTAACAGTCATTCCAGTGTAATTTCCATGTTAATCTGAGGCTGTCTTTGCATTGCCTTCTATTAATATGTATTACTAAAAGCTGATCCCCACTCCATTTCCCATATGTTTAATAGGATCCTAAATAAGGTAAGACTGCCAAGACACTACGGACTGTTCATTTCTCTTTGCTTTAGAGGAAAATACTCAGTCATAAGTTCAAAGAATTACCAATTATCCCAGAAAGAAAAGAACTGAATCAATTAGGAAAGGTGGCAGGGGAGGGCACAGCCAAACGTGAATTTCATCACCAACTGGACTGTGGCTGGCAGAAATCTTAAATTCACAATTGAAACACACTTTCCTCCTTAGACTTCTAAGGACTCAGCCCAAAACAACCCAAACTGTCAACTAACGGCAGATTGGGGGATGGACAACTGCTAAAAAGTCTCAACACATGCCAAAATGGAAAAAAAAAAAAATCGCTTAGAAGGTCTGCCCTCCACGAAACCACTGAAGAATGAAAGAATTCAGTGTGTGTGCACAAGAAGACCATTACAATGCAGGGGGTGGGGGGAAGAGGTCACTTGGAGTTGGACAAATCCCTAGAAAATGCTAGAGAAAAACACCGACTCTGTGGTCTCCCTGTAAGAAATCCTTGACGGGAAAGGGTCAACTCAAGATAAAGTGGGGTCAGGCTGCAGAACTGCTCTCACTTTTCCTGGACCCCCACCCCCCGCCCCGACCCCTTTCCTCGCAGGCGGCCCCAAGCTCCCACCAGAACCCTTTGGGAGAAGATTTGCACCTGAGGAGCTGGGGGAGCCAAGGAAGGGGCCACCCTCGAGTAAGCAACCACCTGTGCATGCTGGAGACCCCCGAGGAGTTCTCTTCAAAGTGGGAAGTGGCTCTGGGAATGGCCCCCCAAGCCCCGGGGGCGACACGGGGTTCTCCCTCAACTCCTCTGCCCCCTGTGCCCGGTCGTCGGCCACCCCCCAGCTGAGGTCACCTCTCCTGAGACCTCCGCCCTCAGACCCCGGTCTGTACCTCACACCCAGCCGTCCCCGCTCCTCTGCCTGACAGCCGCCCTGCCGCTACCAGGCAGCCCTGACTGCTCGGTCCTGGGGTCCCCACATCAGTCGCAAGATTTAGGGATTAGGATTTGGAAGGGTTTGGTCCAATCCCGGCTCCCTCTCAGCGTCCTGGGCTCACCTCCCCGGCAGCTTGGCGCTCCTCTTCCAAAACTGCTTGCTGTTCTCGGCGGCCATTGCTCTGGCCCGGGGAAGGCCTTGTAGGTGGGTCAGGGGGTGCCCGACGAGACGCCCCCGAGACCCCGCAATCTGAGGGCCAACCCAGGCCGCTTCCCCGTCGCCGGTCACCCGCTCCCAGCTCCTGGGGGCGCCATCTTGGATGTGGGCACCCGCCCACCCAGCGCAGCTGCCATTGGTGGGCTGCGCCAGCCGTGAACAGACGGGCCAATCGGGAGCCGGAATCCTGTAGGATGCTGAAGCCGAACGGTAACGTCAGGGGCTGGGCACCCAGGTGGGCCGGGAAGGCGGAGCTTGAGCGAGCCGGGAGGCGGGGCAGAAAGTTCCTACCCACGAGAGGGAAGAAGCAGGTAAAGAAAGCGACCCACGGGAAGGAGGCACGGGGGCTGTTTTCTTCTGGGGAAATGAGATCCCGGAGTCTGCTATTTTTTGTAAGGAGGGCCATAGTGTGTATTTATAAACATAAATCTTTGACCTTGTTGGTTGTGACCCATTTTTAACGACACCCAACTCAGTGACACTTCGGTGATAGCCACCCCTTCCTCGTTCCGGTTCCGTTTAGGTCCGGAGTTTTTTTTTTTTTTTTCTCCCTATGAAGGACTCAGTTAACCCACGCTCCCTAACTGTTCAACATGTGACAGTGGGTTCAGGAGTCTCCCTCCTCTGTTGACTGAATACTTTTAAAGGATTTGTGCTGTGAATGAAACGCCAAGGATCGAATCCTGTTTTAATCCGTAACTCTCACTTTCTGACAGTGAAAGCCTAGATACTGACTGACAGACGTGTTTAGGGAATGTGGTTGCGTCCATCCAATCCACATGACCAAGTACCCCATTTCTTTAGAGCATATCGTGTATCTCCATGATGTGAATCACCAAGATGCGGGTGTACCCCCACACACTTATCCTTAATTTCCCTTCTTAATCTATTGTAAATCTTTCACCCTTGAATTTGTTCTCAATCTAATTTTGTCTCAGAATGAAATTTAATATTAGCATTTTAAACTCTTTGAAATGTTTTGTCTGCGCTTTGTGCTTTTTTTTTTTTTAAGATTTGTTTATTTATTTGAAAGGCAGAGTTACAGAGAGAAGAGAGAGAGATCTTGATATCTTCCATCCACTGGGTGTCACTTCCCAAATGGCCAAAATGGTCGGAGCTGGGCTGATCTGAAGGCAGGAGCCAGGAGCTTCTTCCTGGTCTCCCGTGCGGGTACAGGAACCCAAGCACTTGGGCCATCTTCCACTGCTTTACAAGGTGCATTAGCAGGGAGCTGGATTGGAAGTGGAGCAGCCAGGACTCAAACCGGTGTCCATATGGGATGCTGGCGCTGCAGACCACGGCTCAACCTGCTATGCCACAATGCCAGCCCCTTGTGCTCTTTTTGAGATTTTGTGGACTGGGGAGAAATAGAAAGTACACTCCATCCACAGTAATTTTTGTTCCAACAGAGGATGGTTGAGGTGGCTGATTGTCTCCATCCCTAGCCCATTGACTTTTCACAAGTTGAATACTTGAGGACTTCCTATCTAAAAAGAAGGATGTTTTATATGCCCTCCAATGACCTCTTTCTTTTTTTTTTATTTTTTTTTTTATTTATTTATTTTTTTGGACAGGCAGAGTGGATAGTGAGAGAGAGAGACAGAGAGAAAGGTCTTCCTTTGCCGTTGGTTCACCCTCCAATGGCCGCCGCGGCCGGCGCGCTGCGGCCGGCGCACCGCGCTGATCCGATGGCAGGAGCCAGGAGCCAGGTGCTTTTCCTGGTCTCCCATGGGGTGCAGGGCCCAAGCACCTGGGCCATCCTCCACTGCACTCCCTGGCCACAGCAGAGGGCTGGCCTGGAAGAGGGGCAACCGGGACAGAATCCAGCGCCCCGACCGGGACTAGAACCCGGTGTGCCGGCGCCGCTAGGCGGAGGATTAGCCTAGTGAGCCGCGGCGCCGGCCTTCCAATGACCTCTTTCTACAAATAAATGTTACCACCCATTTTCTTCGCTGCTGATTTTTTTTTCTTCTATTTTTTTTTTCCCCGACAGGCAGAGTGGACAGTGAGAGAGAGAGACAGAGAGAAAGGTCTTCCTTTGCCGTTGGTTCACCCTCCAATGGCCAACACGGCTGGCGTGCTGCGGCCAGCGCACCGCGCTGATCCGAAGGCAGGAGCCAGGTGCTTCTCCTGGTTTCTCATGCAGGTGCAGGGCCCAAGCACTTGGGCCATCCTCCACTGCACTCCCTGGCCACAGCAGAGAGCTGGACTGGAAGAGGAGCAACCAGGACAGAATCCAGCGCCCTGACCGGGACTAGAACCTGGTGGGTGTGCTGGCGCCGCAGGCGGAGGATTAGCCTATTGAGCCGCGGCACCGGCCTCTTTTTTTTCTAAGATTTATTTCTTTGAAAGGCTGAGCAACAGAGAGAGAGAGAGAGAGAGAGAGAGATTGAGAGAGAGAGAGAGGCAGAAACTGAGAAAGACAGAGAAATCTTCCATTTGCTGGCCAACTCCCCAGATGGCTGCAACAGCCAGGTCTGAGCCAGCCTGGAGTCCAGGAACTCCATCCTGGTCTCCCACATGGGTGGCAAAGGCCCAGGTTCTTGGGCTGTCTTCTGTATTCTCCCCAGGTACAATTGCAGAAAGCTGGACATGAAGGGGAAGCACCCAGGACTCAAACCAGCATTCCAATATGGGGTGATGGCATCACCAGCACCCCAATGCTGGCCCCTACTTCCCATTTTCAAGCTTCTTTTGGTCCCCAATTTCAAAATTATGAGATTAAATGAAAAGGGTTATTTTTACTCCCTCTGAAGCATTTATGCTTTTATAGACTTTTATCTTCTTTATGAGCATTTAACCCATCAAACAAAAGCCTCTCTCTATCCTTTTAATCATTTTACCTACATTTCTGTGGCTCTTCTTAAGATGCACTGGCCAACCCTACACACTGGGCCATGAGAAAGGTGTTCTGAGGTTTTGTTGAGGCTACCTTTTGTATTTCTGCTGAACAGCCAGAATGCTTTGCTGGTCTTTTGCATTTTAGAGGAGTTGATGTGTTCAAGGAACAATCCACGGTGGCTTCTAGATCCCTGTCCTGGCAGGTTGCAGTTGTTCTAAAACTATCACTGACTGGTCCCTCCCTGTGTGCACAGCCTTACCTGTGCCCATGTACAAGGCACTGCTACTTTCCGGCTTGTTCATAAAGCTTTAGGACTGTGGAGTGGAGGTTTCACTGGATAGTATACCTAGTGTACCTTGAAATGTCTCTGTGTATGCTTTCTTTTCTTTCTAAAGATTTTTATTTATTTATTTGAGAGATACAGTTTCAGACAATGAGAGGGAGAGACAGAGAGAAAGGTCTTCTACCCACTGGTTCACTCCCCAAATGGCTGCCACAACCAGAACTGGGCCGATCTGAAACCAGGAGCCAGGAGCTTCTTCCGGGTCTCCCAGGCAGGTGCAGGGGGCCAAGGACTTGGGCCATCTTCTACTGCTTTCCCAGGCCACAGCAGAGAGCTGGATTGGAAGTGGAGCAGCTGGGACTAGAACCGGAGACCATATAGGATGCCGGCACTTCAGGCCAGGGCGTTAACCCACTGCGCCACAGCGCCGGTCCCATCCTTTTTCTTACCTGTTCATGAAATGTTAGTGAAGCACTGATCCTCAGGGAAATGCACTTAACAGTACTCAACCTAGAGAAGCCCTAATATGCCTACTGATTTCCCACCCAAGATTTTAAAAATAAATCACTCCAGTAGCTCCGTGATAAGTGTTTAAGCAGTTACTTGTTAGCAGAGTCGAGATTGTTGGACCTTCTCTCCCTCAGCACCAAGACCGCCCTAATCTAAATCAACCACACCCTTGTAGCAGCCTCCTGTTGGGCCTCCTTGTTTCCACTCTTGCTGCCAAGAGCAGGCAGAGAGCCTTTTACCATGTAGCTCCTGTCAGATCCTCCTCTGCTCAAACCCTTGCATAGAACCCATCACACTTGGCGTAAAATCCCAGACCCTTAAAGACCCTGCAGCCTTTGTTCCCACCCAAGTCTCCTATCTCATCTTGTTTCACTCACTTCCTTGCTGAATCTGCTCTGGCATGTTCCCACCTCAAGGCCTTTGCTTTAGCTACTTCCTTTGCTTGTACTTCTTTCTCCCCAAATACTCTGACTGGCTTCTTCCCTCATTTCATGCAGATGTATTCCCAAATGTCTTCTCTAACCACCTATTTTACTTTTTTTTTTAAAGATTTATTTATTTATTTGAAAGGCAGAGTTACAGAGAGGCAGAGGCAGAGAGAGAAATCTTCCATACACTGGTTCACTCCCACAATGGCCGCAAAGGTGGGAGCTGCGCCTATCCAAAGCCAGGAGCTGGGAGCCAGGAGCTTCTTCCAGGTCTCCCATGTGGGTGCTGGGCCCCAAGGACTTGGCCATCTTCTACTGTTTTCCAAGGCCATAGCGCAGAGCTGGATCTGAAGTAGAGCAGCGGGACTCCAGCTGGTGCCTATATGGGATGTCAGCACTGCAGGCGGTGGCTTTACCCACTGTGGTGGCCCCTAACCACCTATTTTAAATAGCAAGCTCTACAACCCTACAGGGGGTATGCACAAAGTTCAGGGAAAATGTGTATCATGAAAAAGGATTGTGGAGATATTTTAAAACGTTTTGCACCAAAGTAAATGTACCTGGCCATTTCATTTTCCCATAGCATTCTGAAGCTGCTGGCATTTTTCTGTTAAGCTCCCTCACGGCACACCACCCTAAGTACAGTTTGCAGTCCTTTTCCAGCCCCTAGACTGTAAACTTTACGAATGCAGGGACTGTGTCTTGTTCCCTTCTGTAGCCCCAGCACCCAGAATAGTCTGGTACATAGTTGGTGCTTAGTAAACAATTACCAAGTGAGAGAATGTAAACAATTCTTTTTTGGTTCTGTGTTGTTCATACACATTTTTTATTGGGATAGATTAAAGAAATAATATTTCCTAGCCTACTTTCCTAAAGATTAAGCTTGCCTATATTCTTGGCTGAAGAACAGTCTTTTTTTTTTTTTTAAGGGTTTATTTATTTGAAAGGCAGAGAGTGAGAGATCTTCCTTTTGCTGGTCACTCCCCAAATGGCCACAATAGCTAGGGCTGGACCAGTCCAAAGCCAGGAGTCAGGAACTCCATCCGGGTCTTCCATATGGGTGGCAGGCACCCAAATGCTTGGGCCATCATGTGCTGCCTTCCCAGGTGCCTTAGCAGGGAACTGGATCAGGAGTAGATGAGCCAGAACCCAAACTGGCACTCTGGTATGAGATGCTGGCATTTTAAGCATGGCTTAACCCACTGCACCACAATGCCAGCCACTGAAAAACAGTCTTTGTCTCTTCAG